AATGAATCCATGGAATCATCGCAAGCACCTCCAGAACACCCTGAAGGCATTGATCTTACTTATGGCTACGGCTCAGAACCCTATAAAAGCATCCAGCTGGAAAGACACAGCTCTTCATATGACCTCAATAGACCTAGTCTAGGAAAACTATACTGTGACATCTGTGGACTGGCCTGCAACAGCCTCAATGTTTTACTGGTGCATAAAAGAAGCCACACAGGTAGGGATCTTTCCGTGATCAGCTGACCAAATAAATATGTGCTTCTTCAAACTACCTAGTTACAGATGCTTTGCAAAAAGTTGTTGAGACTGTAAATCATGTATTTTAAAAAGGAGTTCCTAGAATTATATTTGAAAAGGACCATGGTCCAAGATACATCTCTCCTAAAAATGAGACCAGAGGTCAACTTTAACATCAGCTTCGTGGTTCGGGTCTTGCTATTTTCTGAATGTAATTAGTCTCAGTCTATGTGGCCACAATTTGCAGCAACTAATTCCATTCAGAAAATGGAAAAGACTGGAAGTAGACAGTGTATGAGCTGAAGCACTGAGCTAGCGGTTCCAGTACACTTCATTCCCAGTTTTAGGAAAATTGTATTTCTGAAAGGGCAGCAGCAACACTTTACACTCAACACCCACTATTTTTTTAAAATCGAATTCTTGGAGCTCTCCTTTAAGCATAATGTCAGGCAAACCGCTAAATACAAAGTTCAAATTCATATATATGTTTTTTTCTCATCCATTGACGCACACACAGGAAGACTTTCATCTTCTTGTTATACTGACACCTACAAGAGAATTGGATACTGGCAATCAAAAAAAAACTGAAAGCCAGCCAAAGATAACCCCTTCTATTACCAGCATGTCTCAGTTTTTTGCAAGTTGGACATTCTTTCTAAAGTTGTGCTGTGTAAAAGACTAATATTATTTTTAACCTCTTTCTAACCTTTCTGCACAGTTGATGGAGCTGGTCTCTCAGATTGCAGATATCCAGCATGGCCATCCTTGTCCTGGCTTTAAAGTGCTTTATCTGGATGGACATTATGGCGTTAGTCTAAACGATACCCTTGGAGACTGAGTCATTGTGCGTTTTAGAGGCTCTGCTATTGTAAAAGTTAGCCACGGAGCTCTGAAGGTGGACTAGTCAGGAGAGCTACTTTTAAAGTGATTGTAAAGCCTGAAGGCTTTTTACCTTCAAGCATTCTATGCATCAGAGAAGCCTGATATTTTGGTTGTCATCCTGAAGCTTCAGTTAATTTGGCTGTGTTTTTTAACATTGGATCATCCTGTTGGAGGGTCATCCAATCTGGATTCAGTTAGACAATACCAGAGCTGAGGCATGCTTCAATCATTAGGAAGGAACCAGAAGTCTCACCACAGCAGGAAATGTAAATTGGATCCTGTCTTAGGCAGAATTCCACATTCCAGCCTATTCTGGCTTTGCATAGGGACAAAGTGTTGTTGAGGCCTAAAATTGCCTTCTTACCTAGTGTAGTTTCTACCTTTAACGTCAATCAGGACATCGTTCTTCCTTTACTCTATCTGGTTCCAGTTCACCAAAGGGAATTTTTACTTTGTCTGGATGTTTGAGCTCTGAACCATGCTTCTTTCAGAAAGAGTGATTCACTTGTTGGCATTCCATATAGCCCTTGTAAGGGTACAAGAGCTTCTCCTTTCACCATCTCTAGGTGGCTCAGGCCTAGAATTATTCAAGCTTTTGTTCTCAAGGTTTGGGTCCCACGCTTTCCAGTAAAAGCATGCTCTACTAGTTCTGTGAATGCTACTTGGGCTTTTCAGCATCAAGCAACTGTTTCCTAGATTTGCAAGAGGCCACCTGGTCTTCTGTTTTGGGTGTAAGGTCCTGCAGGCAGTCTCTGGTTTTCTGTTTTCTTGGGCCTGGTAGCATTTGCTGTGTTGCGCACCCCTCAGCTGGACATCTTTTGGATATCCTGGATATGAAAGACTTCCTGTGTCCCTCAATGAACTAGAAAGAAAATAGGAATTTTGTATTCATTATAAAATCCTTTTATTGGAGCCTGTTAAGGGACACACTCCACCTTTAGAAAACTGAGGCATGCTAATATTAGGATGGGTTGTCCTGGGCTGGCCTACAGTAAAGTGTAGAATCCTTCTATAAGTGGCAATATAACTTGAAGGTGAAAGACCTCCTGTGTCCCTCAATAGACTGCAAGAAAAGGGTTTTATACTGAGTATATTATTCTTTTCATCAAACTTCATTTTTGTAGCTTCCTGTTCTCATTGGACAAGGAATCTGCAGATACTGCTGATTCTTTGTCCAGGGAGAATGCTGTTCACGCAGGGCTCTGAAACAGAATTGGTGGGATTTAAAGGAGGTACACTTTAAGTTTCAAGGCTCAATATATTTAGTACAGATATTTCACTTATAGCAAGTAAATAGAGTCACCCACCAGGATCTGTTAGAGAATTCAGTGGCAAGTTCACCCTAATGGAATTTATTTCTTGTTCAATGTTTTTATTGATTTTAGACAGGTAGAAATACATATAACAGAGGTAACACTGACATAAGCATACAATTGAAAAGACAATTGGTTGTCATTAGTAGTTGAACAATGGAGTTTATCGTCTATGGAGTCTCACTCCTGCAGGAGCAGAAGCCCCAAGCATACTGGTGCAGTCACAGTAATGTGCGCAAACCTGGAATTGATATGCTGTGCTATTGCCACTGTATTACCTAGAAGACCTAACAAAACATTTGTTTAACTCTTTTGTATCCACCACATATACTGATATAGAACATTTGGTTGTACTAATCCTTTAATAGCTTGCTTGATGTCAGCACATAGAATTCTTGAACATGAATGGTTTTAGGAAGGCTTACATATAGCCTTTGGTGTAAGATAAAATGAGTAAGTATAGATCAGAGTAACCTCCTTGTATACTACTGTAACACAAAAAGGTAATATTATTAGTGTTTTTCTTGCTGTACATTTTGCCTTAACTTTTAGGGTGAAATGCCAGCATTTGTGAGAAAAACAATGTCCTTCTAAGCTATATACAGTGAAAGCATTTTAACACAGTGTTTAAATATCTTTGTTCAGATTCTTAGCAGCAGATAGAGCATTATGGTGCACTTGCTCAAATGTTTCCAAATGAATACTCTCTGTGTTATAATAAGAAGCACTGCATCCCTAGAGCCACATTTAGAAGTGTGTCACCAAAGTCCAAGCGCAGAAGGACATTGTGTGCCATATTGTAATGACAAAGTTGTTATGGGCCACTGAAGTGTTCTCCTTGAACAGGGGTGGTAAGCAGTTGTGGATATAGATTCCAGAGATGGAACTTTGACCCAAAGTCTAGGAAGTCAAGCCCTTAATAAAAAAAATTATAAAAAGCAAGATCAGAAGGATGCAAAGAACTGTTAAAATGTCTTGTAAGCCATCTATACATGCTGTAATAATGAAAGTGGAATGTTTTATTTAAAGATAGTTAAGTTTCTAACTGTAGTTAGCACAGGTTTAAATCTCCATTTGAGAAACGTTGAGGTTTCCATTGCTAACCTTCTCTTGAAAAAGTTGTCAAATTTAATATGTGTCATTGACCTAATTCTAACAATTTTTCCATAAGAGTATATATGCATTCAACATATATTAGGCATGGTATTTATTTTTAAAATCCTCCCGTGTATGGATATCTAAAAGTCCTGAAACTGGTGCTGGGTGCAGAACTCCTAACTCATTTAGAGGGATAAGCTGCACATTTGAGGGTGTGGCAGGGGTGGGCCTTTTGTCTACATACTTTGTGATTACATGACACTCTTAAGTGTTCACCTTTGTTCCACCCTCCACAGCTACATGAACAGTTATGTAGGGAGGTGAAGGGAGGGATGGAGATGCTGGGCCAGCATCCCCAGAAGAGGGGATGGCTATGACATGTGGAGGATGAGGAGAGAGCTAAGGAATTGACTCTTCCTGGAGCAGTCAAATTTTCTACCACATTTAAAGGTACATTGCAAGTGAATACAAAATAATTAAGTAAGCATTGAAAAGTTACCAGCATTTTAAGAAAAGGGTCAGCAATGGCAACCTCCGTAAGTCTCTCACATCAGGCGTACTTGAAAAATAAACCCCTAAAGAACCTTGATCTTATGAGCTTACTCTCTAAGAGCTATTCAAATACTGATACATACAGCAAATGTTCTGAGCAATATGTACACATGATAAAATATGCTGGAAAGGTCTGCTACCTGACTTTCATGTCTGGACACAAAAATACATTTTTTTAGCATAAGGAATAAACTTGACTGTGTAGCAAAAGCATCAGTTGGGAAGAGAATGATTTTTTTGTGATGTGTTTTTATATGCAGCATCAAAATTTTAAGATATTAGTCATTTAGCAGAACAAGATGTCAAGTGTGGGCCGTCGAAGCTGAGGTATCCACAGGGGTATATATCTCCCAGGGATTCTAGTTGTAAACTCTCTGATGAGTTTGGCTCCCTTTGCCATACTATGACAGGTGTGCTTGGCCATATATTTTTCCCAGGCTCTGAATCTGAAAATACTGTTCATCATGTTCCCAAGATCCAGCACAACCCTCTTTATTTCCTAAGCTTTATTGTTGAATTTTCAATGCAAACATTGATCAACATTGCTTGTGAAAAGGAAAGAAAGTAAACAGATTTAAAAAAAAAAATTGTATTAACGGGAGCATAGAGAAAAAAAGGGTAAAAAGAAAAAGACATTTTAGGCCATACAAGTTAAAACACATTTTTTTAATTGTGTTGTGGTGACATCTAGCTGGGGGCAGTGAGGGGACCATTCTTAAAGCATAGTCAATGATATATTTATGACAGCACCATCTTCTGTAGTTTTGAAAGAGTACAGGATCTGACTATGGTCCTGCCCAGGGACCCTGTGCAAAAAAGATTCTAAATCTGGCTCTATTATATGACATGAATTATATTGAGTTACAGTGTTTGTTAAATAGTCGTAGTGGTTCAGTTTTTTTTTTTGCATGCTGAATGGAGTTTGCTTTTATAGGCCCATGCTTGCCTGTTTCAGGGGAACGTCCTTTCCAGTGCAATCAGTGTGGAGCATCCTTTACTCAGAAAGGGAATTTACTCAGACACGGCAAGCTGCATACTGGAGAGAAACCATTCAAATGTCATTTGTGCAGCTACGCCTGCCAAAGGAGAGATGCCCTGAGCGGGCACCTCCGCACACACTCTGGTGAGCATACCTTCAACTTTCCTCACACTCACTACATTTAAAGGCCAACTCCTTTCAAAATGTTCCGCTCGGTTGAATTACCTTTCAAATTCGTGTTTCTTTTGGATGTTCCCTTAACAGGATTTCCTTCAGTAGTTTGCTTTCACTTTTCACATAAAGCCATAACAAAGGCAGCATTCATTGGTTTAATGGATTCCAGATATTTTCTTTTGCTTAATTATGAAGGATCCTTTAGGAGAAGACAAGACCAATATATGGTTTTGTGATTTACTGGCATGGCAGAATTGAAATTTTGATGGGGATTTCTTAAACCTGGAGTACCCAAGAAGTGTGAGGGATCAGCATGTGATAAGGATGCCAGCAACTATGTACAACTAAAACACAATTTTGATGGAGTTGGCCGTTAAACCTGTTGTAAGAGTTCAGTTAGTGGTCAATAATGCACCTAAAATACTTTTATTAGCAAGTAGACATAGTTTGGGTAACCAATACTATGTCTGTATGCCTATAAAAATATTTTTTATGAAGTCTGTGCTGAGGGAACCATGTATAGTAGACTTCCATTGCTGACCTTCTTCTGAAAATGCCAGTTGCCTTACTCTGGCTTTGGTATTTGGAGCCACGGACCTGGATCAGGTATGCAGCAGGGTGGGTTTGAGATGTAAAACTCCTGATATGCATATTTGCTCTTGGAAACTCCCAGCCTGCTTAACTGGTTGTTAGAAGCTCTTGATCTGCTTAGTTACTCTTGATTGGCATCTCAGAAAGTAATAAAAACAGTACATCAGTCAGGCAACTAGCATTTTCTGAAGGAAAGATCAGCAGTGGCAGCCTACATATTTCTGAGTATTGGTTTCCTCAGTTGTTGTCAGCTAACTGATCCTTTATATGTAGATAGCCCTTGTGGTGTCATAAGGATTGATTAACATTGTGTATACAGGTATGAAAAGTTAAAAAAAAAAAGATATATATTCATTATAAAGCACAAACATATTTTGCAGTGCTTATAAAAAAACAATTTCAAATCAATCCCTGCCACCAACTGAACATTCAGTCCAGTGTCCTGGCCACATTCAAGTGGACACACAATGGAACTACTGTGTTTTTGGAATATGGGAGTGATTTCACTACTATGTACGAGTCAAGAGACTCTACTATATGGGAAATTATGGGATTTAGTAATCTTTGGTGGAAGAAATTACATCTGGGCAAATTATTTATATTTACATTGTAAGGTTTTTAGCAAAGACCTGATGCATAGGTTTTATAAAAATACCACTTTAGCCTTTGCTGGCTTAAATCTTGCATAGTGTTGTTTCAGTCTGCAGGGTCTAAGCAGCACGGGGCTGAAAGTTGTGGTGAGCACACAAATTATCACTGAAGAAACCCCATGCACTTGAATGAGAAACCACACAAACCAAGAGCATACACATTCCAAACAGATGGGTCCTTGTGGCCACCAAATCCAGGCCCTAAGACCTGCACGGAGGTAGGGCTAGCCACTGAGCCAATATGCTGCTCCAGTTTTCATGTCACCACACTGGTGCGTTGCTGTAAGCAGAATATTACAATTTAGGTCAGTGATTCCCAGTCAGTGGCTTGGGAGCCATACCCAACCGTTGATGTAATTTGTGGCAGTCTGTTAGTAGGTACTGAGTACTTCTCTGCCTGTCTTTATGTTGTGTCTCATATGCTTCATATAATCAGTAAGGCAAGTAGAGTTTGCAAGTTTGGTATTGTTTCATTAAAATATTTTTTTTTTGTTAAAGCGTAAATACACCCAATAAGAGCATTGCAGTTTTGGTAGCTATTGGCAGGTTGAATCACACACTGGCAGCCTATGTATTTCATTACAGTGTATGTTTCCAATCCACTCACTTACCCTAGTCATTATGTAAAGGCTCACATTTTCTGTTATATTGTAAATTTCATTGTAGTGAGGAGAGTGAGACTACTCTGCCTTCTACAGCAAATAAAAAATAATCCTCCCCAGTTATATTCCTGCACTAAGTTCCTAGAAGATACATGGTGCCAGTAGGTGATTCAAGGGTGTGCAGACTCGTTAACAATGGTTGACTAAAGTGTTATTAAAGTCATTATTTTTCTTCTAAATTAGATACTAATAATATAACTTACATGTATTTGATGGTTTTTATTTATTTTATTTTAAACTTCCTCCCTGGAGCTTCCTTTTTAAAATTTTCCCTGGCCATTGTCTTACATTGCTGTCCTATGTGTGGCCCTTGTGCCATTGGGACCTACGGAGTCCTGTAAAAAGAGTGGAAATCGAAGTGCCACACCACTGCTAAGAGGTCCAGATATAACTTTATTCCATTAAAGGTCGGGTACAATTAAAAAAGTAGCCAGTGCATTTCAGGGATCTAAGTGCCCCCTTTATCAGGGCTAGAAACTTACGATTTTGATATAAATCTGATATCGATACAATATGCCTTCCACTGGGTCATAATTAAAACTAAACAGTTAATAGTAAGGAAAGAGTCAAAATAATTACATAAAAATGAGAACATGAGTGCTGAACAAAAATGAGAGTGTGAGCGCTGAGAAAAAAAAAAATGAAATAAACAAAAATATTAATAATAATAACAACAATAATAATTATAATAACTAAATTTAAAATGATACATTGTGGGTGATGTGTTAATCTAATTAAAAATTTTGTATGGCTCAATTTATACACATAGACCAAACACGATTTCTTCTGCACTCTAGGACCCAGGCGGGTGGCAAATAGATGGAACCAGAACTGGAAAAAAGCGACCACCAGTGCATCAAAGGTTGTGCAGCTCCAAACAAGGCTGGGGAAGCCCGACCAACACTACAAAGCGAAACAAAAACGAGAAGCGCACAAACCTTGCGCATTACCTCAGTAAACAAAAATTTATTAATAAGAAAGGTACTCGCAAACAGCGAATAAAATCAGGCATGTAAGTCCTCACAGGGACAGAGCTCTGATGAAGAAGGTTTGGCCTTCGAAATGCGTCAGCTGAACTGAGTGTCTACCCCCACGATGGGCCTCGCGCTGGCTCCTTATCTTTGAAGTTCCTGTGAGGACTTACATGCCTGATTTTATTCGCTGTTTGTGAGTACCTTTCTTATTAATACATTTTTGTTTACTGAGGTAATGCGCAAGGTTTGTGCGCTTCTCGTTTTTGTTTCAATTTATATACATACCAGTTTTTAGAAATCAAATTAAATAAAAAAAAAAATATTAATAATGACAACAATAATAATAGCTAATTTTAAAATGATACATTGTGGGTGATGTGATAATCTAATAAAAATATGTATGGTTCAATTTATACACATACCAGTTTTTAGAAATAAAATGAAATAAACAAATAAAAATAATAATAATATTATTAACAACAATAATAGTAATAGTAGGGTCGTTGGTTCGAATCCCAACCACGGGACCACCTGCCTGGAGTTTGCATGTTCTCCCTGTGCCTGCGTGGGTTTCCTTCGGGTACTCCGGTTTCCTTCCACACTCCAAAGACATGCTGGTAGGTGAATTGGATCCTGTCTAAATTGGCCCTAGTATGTGTATGTATGAATGTGAGTTAGGGACCTTAGATGTACACCCCTTGAGGGTTAGGGACTGATGTGAATGTACAATATATATGTAAAGCGCTGCGTAAATTGACGGCGCTATATAAGTACCTGAAATAAATAAATAAATAAATAATAGTAGCTAATTTTAAAATGATACATTGTGGGTGATGTGTTAATCTAATAAAAATTATGTATGGTTCAATTTATACACATACCAGTTTTTAGAGTTTTTACCCAATTTTTCTTTTTTCATTCATATTAGGCTAACATATCACCCACAGTGTATCATTTTAATAATAGCTATTGTTGTTATTATTATTTTTTTTATTCATTTTTCTCAGCACTCATTTTTGTTCACCACTCATGTTCCCACTTTTATGTATGTAATTTTTTTGACACTTTCATTACTATTGACGGTTTGGATTTAATTATGACCTTGTGAAAGGGATATTGTATGGATATCATATTTATATCAAAATCTTCTTATGTTCTTTCTTGCCCCATTGGCTACTTTTTGAGTTGTACCCCTGGCCTTTAATGGAATGCAGTTGTATCTGGACCTCTTAGCAGTGGTGTGGTGCTTCAATTTCATCTCTTTTATGGCACACTTCAAGCCAAGGAGACAGTGGAGATCCTCTGGGGTGTAAAAGCCGCCTGCCCAGGAACCAGATCATTTACATCAGCACAGGGGCGGACTGACAACTCATGGGGCATCGGGGCAATAGGGATAATGGGGCCTCTGTGTCCTTGCCCAAACTCAAAAAAGCCTATGAAAAAGGTACCAGGGGCATCTCATGGTGCCCCCTACTGACCCCCGGGCCCTCGGGCAATGCCCGAGTTTCCAAATGGTCAGTCCGCCCCTGCATCAGCATTAATACCTTAAAATAACAATACCAGTAAAGTAAATCTGCAGGTCCAGTTCTATCTTTCCACTTTCCTCAACTGTGGAGTTCCTCCATGCACGTTCCCACTGAGACTGCAACTGTACATGCAGTCATTCAGAGCACCGCATGCACAGGCCGCTGTCAATCACTGCTGTGCAAGAGGAGAAGAGGGAGAGATGTGGCTTTTGCTCTGTGTCCCTCTTGCACTGGCCCTGCATGTGATGCGTGGAATGGCTGCATGTACAGTTGTAGTCTCAGCACACACATGTAGAGGAGACTTCTACAGGACACTATAGGTTCCTACGGTATAGGGGAAAACATAGTACGACAATATAGTAGCATGGCAAGGGGACAGTTTAAAAGGGAACCCCCGAAGAGAAATTTTATTAAAAAAAAACATCAACTACATGTCAGTTATATTAGTATTCAAGTTAAGGAAACAAATTGACTTTAATACCACATTGACAAATTGTGATGAGAGAAATAGGGTGGCTGCCACTGCTAACCTCCTGAAAATGCTAATTTCCTGACTATTGTTCTGACCCTCTTGCTTTTATAGTTCAACACCAACCTGAGCATGCTAA